TGATCCCATTTCTTTTCTAGATTAAATACATTAATCTTGTATTTTATATCAGATTTATTCAGTTCAGAGTAGAGTATATGATCCCATTTCTTTTCTAGATTAAATACATTAATTTTGTGTTTTATATCAGATTTATTCACTTTAAGCTTGAGTAAATGATCCTGTTTTTTTTTCCACATTAAATATATTAATTTTGTGTTTTTGTATCAGCTTTATTCAGGTTAAAATAGAGTACGTGATCCTGTTTCTTTTCCAGATTGATTCCAAGATCACACTTGGTTTGGCTGGTGTTGTAATAGTGCTGCTTTCTGTAGTAGCCTCATTAGGAATTTTCTGTTTCGCTGGAGTGCCGGCTACACTGATTATTATCGAAGTGATACCATTCCTAGTTCTTGCTGTTGGAGTTGATAACATCTTTATTTTAGTACAGGCTTATCAGGTGAGATTTGTCTTGAACATAAACTCAACTAACAGTCACCCACCCTGTAAATCACACTACCAAATGCTCCTCAATTAATTGTAAAGTTTAGAACATTTGTGTTGTTATTCACAATAGCTTTTATTTTGCTTATAATTATGTTAAATGTTGATACTACTTGCAATGTAGGCAACCATTAGTCACCACTCCTTTAAATTAAAATACTATAACTTATAGTTAACTTTGTAATTCACATTTTATTTTCTGTTTTCACAAAATAATTCTTTCAAATGAAAATTTCTAACACTTTGACAACAATAATAGAATGTGCTGAGGCTTTGGGTAGGTCACTTTGAAAATTGTCAATATTAGGGAGTATCCAACAAACTTGTCATGTTTTGTCTATACACCACAGAGTGAGATGATCCCCTTAAACACCCTCGCTTATTTTTTCTAACCTATTTAAGACTATTTTGTTCTCCTGTTATATATTGTATAGTTCTGTCTATTGAACTGCTAGGCCAAAAAGAGTTCAGTCAGCCCACTGACCTCAATACAGAAGTATAAAATACCAAGATATATGTGTAGATATCTATATGTCCAGTATAAATAATACATATACGTCACTTATTATAAAATATTTTATATATATATATATTAATATAAATGAATTCTGGAGCAACATAAAACATACTCAGATATAATTAATTTTTAAAAATGTTCCTTTATTTTGGTTAATTTTACATTAGAGTTAGTGACTGTCACATAAGACCTAAATGTTTCTGATGGTTGCCAAAGTTATAAGTAATTATTTGTTTTTACAACAAATCAGTTGCTTTTGATAGGAGAATTTTAGTTATTATTTTCATGTCTACAATATTTAAAAAAATTACAGAAGAGCTTCATTCACCATTGTCTTCAGGGTGACAGTAAGATCATTAACTCCATACAGGGTGACAGTAAGATCATTAACTCCATACAGGGTGATAATTAACTCCATACAGGATGACAGTAAAATCATTAACTCCATCCAGGGTGGCAGTAAAATCATTAACTCTGTACAGGATGACAGTAAAATCATTAACTCCATACAGGATGACAGTAAAATCATTAACTCTGTCCAGGGTGACAGTAAAATAATTAACTCCATCCAGGGTGACAGTAAAATAATTAACTCCATCCAGTGTGACAGTAAGATCATTAACTCCGTCCAACGTGACAGTAAAATCGTTAACTCCGTCCAGGGTGACAGTAAAATCATTAACTCCGTCCAGGGTGACAGTAAAATCATTAACTCTGTCCAGGGTGACAGTAAAATAATTAACTCCATCCAGGGTGACAGTAAAATAATTAACTCCATACAGGGTAACAGTAGAATCATTAACTCCGTACATGTAAAAAATTCCTTCAGCCTTTCTTTCCTGTCAGCATATGGTTGTTTCATGGCTGTTGTTATAAAGTGTGAGAGTCTTGAAATACAGGTTCTATCCCCTAGAGTTTGGTAGAATATTTCTCTTAAATAACTTAATTTCATGCCTTACTTTTTTTAGCTGATACAATGATTTGTAGTTCTTTAGACATCATTTTTCAAATTTATTTCTAAATCATTAAACTTAAAAATGTACTTTAGTGCAATGAAACCAAATGGAGTTTTAAGGTCAGAAATATGTCCGTACCAGCTACTTTTTCTTTGAGTATTTTCTTGCTTACTATCATCTGACAGAATTGTTGTTTTGAATAAGCTATTGTTTCGAGTGGGTGAATATTTTTTGTTTTAATAGTCCACCACCTTAGATAGTTGTAAACAAATTTATTAGATGCTGAGTGATCTATTATCTCCACAGAAATGTTTATATTTATTTAGAATTTTGATAAGAAAGAGATTCTTGAATAATTTCTAATTTTCTCTGCTTCAGAGGGATGAGAGAAGTCACGAGGAAAGTCTGGAAGAACAAATCGGCAGAGTTGTAGGAGAGAGGGCACCAAGCATGCTGTTGTCCAGTTTATCTATGTCAAGCTGTTTTTTTATAGGTTACTTTTTCTCTACTAGAGTTTCACCTTCACCAGATGTTGCTTCGTTTTTGTTAATTTCTTTTTTGATGATTTTAGTTCCTAAAAAACTTAAAGTCAAGTTACATTTTTCCTTATAAGTACAAAAAATATAAACATCATTCTGATTTTTTAAATTCATTACATATTGTACCTTTCTATAAGCTATTTTATTTAACATAAGGTTTATCAGAATATAGACTCTGTGATCTTACATATCAAATTATCACCAGCTGTTAACCTAATATAGCAAATAAGAATCAGAAAAATTACAAAAAAATGTAGTTTTAAAAAAATCCATTAGTATGGCTTTTAATATCTTACTCAAAATTCCATGGCACACTTGAGCCATAGCAGTCAGTTTGAAAAGCTCAGAATCTAGTTATTTCATGTGTGTGTGTTGGAAGGCTACTTGTAGGTTTACCACAAGCTTAAAGTACACCAATAAGATTGTCATATTGTTTGTCTAGACAGTCATTTAAATAACAAATGATTAAACTATCGTCAGAAAAACACTAGATAAACTATATCATTGGCTTTTATAACTTGCACACTTACTGCTCCTAATATTAATTTACTATTTTAAAAGCAACTCAGTAGACATTTTGATTGAAATCATTTCTAGTTATTTTACTCTTCAGAGTGACTAAGCCAGACTTTAAGTCTTTTATTGTTCCATTTTTTCTTTTAAACTGAGGCATCACTTTAGTAACGCTTTTCAGATATTTAGATGTGGTTTCAGGGTTTTGAACAAAACCAGTTATTTACACGTCAAACTTCATGTAAATATAACTCAGAACTCTTACTTGTTCTTTCCAAGCTCCTCAAGTTTAAGTACCAGTGAGCCCACAACAAGGTTACACCAGTAAATTCATCACAAGCTGAGTACTAAAAGATATATCAGATACTAAGTACCAGTGGGCCCACAAGAAGCTTAACACCAATAAGTCCACCACAAGTCAAATACTAATAGATATATCAGATACTAAATACCAATGTGCCCACAACAAACCCGATACAAACTCACCCCAGTCCCAGTGCTAGTTGGTGTATCACACGTTAAGTACCATTATATCTAACATATATCTGTAGTCAGTAGATTCTTCCAACTCAGACCATATACATAATGTCCATAGATTATATATTTGTAATTCAAAGTTCTATATTTGCACGAATATTTGATATTTCAAAAACAAAAACCCAGAACTAAAGAAAAGTTATTAAAAGTTAATTGAAGGAGCAGTCGTATGCTTGAAAAATACACATCAATATTTCTTAAAAACATTCGTAACTACTGTGCAAGAGGAGAACATTTTAAATGGACTTATCTTTAAATATTGGTCATGTAAATTTTCTTAACAAAATCAAATGGCTGCCAAAGAAAATAAGTAAGTGGTTAAGATTGAAGGTTCACATTAAGGTATTATACTATCTTTAATTACAAATTTTGTTTCATGGTTCCCATTTGGATCTCGTGAAAAGCATTGAAATAGATGAGACATTAAAATTTTATAGTGATTGTGAATGATATTTATTTGTAAATATATCAACTAATATCATTATTAAAATTTCTGTTTAAGAGATAAACTTGTTAATGTATACGTTTTGTACTGAACTACAGTTAAAATTAAACGTTTCGTTTTCCTTAGGAGCCTTAACGGACATGCCAGCTGTAAAAATCTTTGCCCTTTATGCTGGATTAGCACTTCTTATTAACTTCATGTTGCAGATGACATGCTTTTTAGCCCTTTTTGTACTAGATACCAAAAGACAAGAGGTTAGTGTAGTAAATGTTAGAACATAGAAAACATTTAAGTTTGTGAAATACAGCTTTATATATATAAATATGTTTTAATCTAATTTTATTATTTCATATTTACTACTGATTTGCATGTGCTAAGCCTATTTTGTTACATTTGTCATTAATATAGTGCATGCTAAGCCTGTCTTGTTATATTTACTATTGATAAACCACACTAATTCTACTTTGGTTTATATACTACTGATACAGTACCATATTATATTATTACTAAGCCTATTTTGTTCCATTTACTATTGATATAGTACATAGTAATTCTATCTTATCACAAATATCACTGATGTAGTTCACATTAATTTTCTTTTTGTACATGTATGTACTCTAGGTAAAGTACATTCTATGTCAATCACATTGCATATAGTCAGCTTAATAATTATTTGTAATATTTACTGTTGACATGGCACACTTATGTCATTATCAACTGTGTTGATAGTATTACAGATTTGTTTTCTCTTCACCAAAGGTTAAATCAAAAACATAATATGTGACTTTTTTTTTAAAGGCCTAATATTTGCTTTGCTGCACTCTCTGTTGTGAATCACAGTTTTGCTCATTCTAGACTCATCAGTGCAGCTTAGGTTAGCAAACCAGTTAGACCTCTTATAATGGTGATGTGTATATAATATTTTAAAACTCCATAAATATTTTCTGTATTTATTATCTAGGTTGATTTGTATTTCTGTTATTTTTGTATTTGTTCCCAGGAAAACAGATTGGACCTATGTTGGTGTTGGAAACTTTCTAAAGTTAAAAACAGATCTACAAATAGCCTTCTACACAAATGTTTTAAATCTTTTTATGCACCTATACTGATGAAACCTCTTGTTCGTGCTGTTGTGGTAAGAGTTTTTTAACTAGCTAAAAGTACTTGCATTGACTTTTATTTATTATTTTTATTTTAAAAATTATTTTAATTTACAATGTACCTTTGTTTAATTGTTCAATACTTTGTTTTTTTAATTGAATGGAGTGTTAATCGTAGTTTTTTATCAATAAAAAACATTTATAATTGGTTTCAAGTTTACACATTTAACATATAGTGTGTAAATTTTGTATATCATGTGTGAATATTATACCGGATTAATAATGTTATGGTTTATTATTTCCCAGTTATTGATATTTACTGTTTGGACATGCTCTTCTCTTGCCGTTATCAACAAAATTGATATAGGCTTTGATCAGGAGCTTTCAATGCCACAGGTTTGTAGTACTTTCATATGTAATATAATGAACAGTGTTGTGTACTTGTACTCATATTATTTAGGAAGAATATGATTGAAATGGTATAAAAAATCCTTTTGTGATGTTTTCCAATAATTATCCAGTATGAGATACTGCCATTCACTCATAATGAAATAATTGAAATATTTTCTTATTGTTGACTTTGTTATTAAAGATATTTAGCTGACAAGTTTATTACTGTTGTTATAGAGTCAGTATTATATATTGATTTTCTAGTAGGTATACCATATTTGTTGTAGTAAGTTTACTGATTTTCTAGTAGGTATACTATATTTGTTGTAGCAAGTTTATTGATTTTCTAAGTAAGTATACTATATTTGTTGTAGTAAGTTTACTGATTTTCTAGTAGGTATACCATATTTGTTGTAGTAAGTTTACTGATTTTCTAGTAGGTATACTATATTTGTTGTAGCAA